AATATTATTTTTATGTGTATGAACGTATTGTCTGCATGTATGTGAATGCACTCATGTCATGCAATGTCCACGGAGGTCAGAAGAGGGCGTTGGTTCCCCTGGAACTGGAGCCAGGGACAGTTGCTAGCCACCATGTGGGTGCTGGGAACTGAACCTGGGTCCTCTGCAAGAGTAGCTAGTGCTCCTGACAGCTGAGTCATCTCTCCAGTCCTGTAAAAAAAAATATTTTTAAGCTGGGCATGATGTTGCACACTTTTTAATCACAGTACTAAGAGGGCAGAGGCAAGTTGATTTCTGTGCGTTCAAGGCCAGCCTGGTCTACACAGGGACAGCCAACTAGGGTTATATGTGAGATCCTGTCTCAAAATATATTTTTGAGAGAGAGAAAGATCGAGAGAGAGCTGGGCATGGTGATACACATCTATAATCTCAATTCCCAGGAGACTGATATCTCAATTCCCAGGATGAGATAGAGGCCAACCTGGGCTACATAGTGAGTTTGAGATAGCCTAGGCTACAGTGTGAGACTGTCACTTTTTTTTTTTTTTGGTCTTTTTGAGATGGGGTCTCCCTGTAGCTCCACCTGTCCTGGAACTCACTATGTAGACCAGGCTGGCCTTGAACTCACAGAGATCCGCCTGCCTCTGCCTCCCAAATGCTGGGATTAAAGGAGTACGCCACCATGCCCGGCTAGAGTGCCTACTACTCTTATAGAGGACCTCAGCATTCTTATCATACAGTTTGCAACTGCCTGTAACTCCAGTTCCAGGAGGATCCAAAGTCCCCTCACTACCTTAGAAACCTGCAAGCACATGTACACATAAACTCATGAAGGCACACACATATACACATACATAAAATAATTCTTTTGAGACAAGGTCTTACTATGTTGATCAGACAAACCTTGAACTCACAGAGATCCACTTGTCTCTGCCTCCTGAGTGCTGGGATTAAAGGTGTGTGCCACCACACCCAGCTAAAAATAACAAACCTTTAAAAAAATTTTAAAAGAAAAAAAAAAAAACCTTAAAAGAACACCAAGATATATGCCATTATTGTATATATTTTATCTTTTCTCTGGGGAGGAGTGTTGCAACAAGGCCTCTCTCTACAACTAGAGTTGTCTTGGAACTCACTATGTAACCCAGACTGGTCTCAAACTTACAACAGCCCTCCTCCCTCTGCCTCCCCTTGGGAGCACTGGAATAACAGCTGTGTACCACCACACTCATTACTGCCCCTATTTTAACCCTATTTTAACCCAATTCATCCCAACCTCATCGACTCCAATTCTGTCATTCTAAAAAGAAAACCAAAGCTCCTCCTGCAATGAACAACTCTGTCTAAGGTCATAAAATGGAGCTAAGGAGTGAGGAGGGGTCTCTCACTGTGTTGGCACCATTGCATCTTTATATGGATCTGAAGTCATCTTGTCCACCTCCCCTCTACATCTCTATTCCCCCCCTACAACTGAAACCCCCCCACCCTGAGTCTCAGGACTCCCAGGGGCTCATACCACTCTCACAGCTCTGCTCTCCTAGTAAGAGGGAGTTTCTATCCCCTCACCATTCCTGAGGAGGCCCTTCAGGGGTATGACTGCCTTTTACCCCTCCAGGACACCTGACCACCCTAAATCTGAACAGGGATAGCGGTCTTTCCTCCCCAGGAGACGCAGGCCTGGCTGCTTCGGCCCTGTCCCTGAGCCACTGCAGTGGGAGTAGCCAGCTCTGAGAGCAGTGACTCACACTTAGTTCATGAAAGACTGCTCCAAAATCCAAAAGCTGCAGCCAGGAAGGACACCCAGAGGTCATGGGATTCAGCCCCCTGCCTCCTCCATAATGGCCCCACAGGCTTCTGATGCTCAGACCAGATAGGCCCTGGGGGTCCACTGACTTCCTGGATTTTCCTTAGTGACTGGTACCACTGGCTCTTCTGGGAATTCTTCCCTGAATTAGTCAGAGGCTCTTTCCCTATGGATAACCACTTCTTGGTCAGTTCCCCCATGGAGTAGAATACCAAGCTTCAAATGGCCAAGGAGCCCACATTCTTCCTTCTCCCTTGTGGAAAGTACTGGGAAAGCACAAATCTCCCAGAAGGAAGGAGAAGTGAAAAAATGAGCTTTCCTTGCTGGTGTTGCCTGGCCTGAGTGGCACAGTAATAACCCTCATATTCTCCATATGAGTGTAGGGAGTATAGGAGGCACACATACCATCTTTTATTATTATTATTTTATTTTTTTATTTTTATTTTATGTATATGCGTGTATTGCCTGCATGTAGGTAGATCCACCCCTGTCCTGCAATACGCATGGAGGTCAGAAGAAGGTGTAGGGTCCCCTGGAACTGGAGTTACGGATGGTTGTTAGCTACCATGTGGGTGCTGGGAATTGAACCTAAGTCCTCTGCAAGAGCAGTCAGTGTTCTTAACCACTGAGCCATCTCTCCAGCCCCCATCTTTTATTATTATAACTACATTTATTTACTTATTTACATGTGTGCGTGCGTGCATGCATGTGTGTGGGTGTGTGTAGGTTAGAGGAAAATTTGTAGAAGTCAGTTCTCTCCTCTTACCATGTGAGTCCTGGGATTGAACTCAAATCCTCAGGCTTAACAGCAAGTGCCTTTACCCACTGAGTTATCTTGCCCAGCCCTCTTTGGGGACACAGTCTCACATAGCCTCAGCTGAACTCACTGAGTAGGGGAGGATGACCTACACCCATCTCTCAGCTCTCAATAAATTGCCCAGGTGGGCTTTGAACTCTCTGTTTTGTCCAAGCAGGCCTTGAACTTTCGATCTTCTTAACCTCCTGAATAGCTGGAATTACAGCTATGCATCACCAAACTCAGCCTAGCCCTGGATTGATGGATGGCCTGATGACTCTATCTCAAGGTGTCCTGAGCATTCAATGTCTGAGCTACCCAAGGAAGGGAAATCAGGTGGGCAAGGGGAGGACAATCCTCAGAGGGGTTAGAGGGTCTTCAAAGGCTCATAATGAGTGGGCCTCTAGGAAGAAAAGTTGAAGGCTGAGCTTAGGATCCACTTTAGTTCCTTTCACGAAAGCCCGGAGCTGGAGGAATCCTACAGCTGCAATAGATCTGGAGGGGGAAGGGACCAAGCCCCCACAACAACAAACCCTCATGTTTGCCCTTGCCCTACTTCTACCACTGACAAATAAATCTCTATTCCTGGACACAGTAACCTGAGCAATGCTCCAAGGGTGATCTCATCCTTGAGAGAATAGCAACCCTGCCCTTCGGGCCTCACATGAAGCTGAATGCTTTCATCATCCAGGTCCCCTAGGACCACCACCAATAGCAGAGGAAGGGGCTGACATAAACCCACTCACACACAAGCATCTCCCTTTCCTTGGTCAAGCCAAGAGGTAAAGCTAGATCTGGGGCCTGAAGGGACTGGAAAGGGGCTGGAAGTAAGGAAGGGCTTGGGGAAATAGTTTCCAGGTTATAGCGCACCTTTGGTTCAGATGGGGAGAGAACACTGGAGAGTGAAAACCTCCTCCCACTAGACCCTGAACTTGATCTAACTTCAATTGTTACAAGATTTTAGGAGGGCTTGTCTTAGGCATGGAGACTTTAGGGAAGAGGACACATATCCAGCCTCTGTTGAAGTCTAGACAGGAAGGCTGGAAAGGATCACAGTTGCCTGGATTTCCATCCGCAAGGAAGAATGATCTGACTTTGGGTTTGTTTGTTTGTTTGTTTTCTTTTAGTCTTTTTTGAGACAGGGTCTCCCTGTAGCCCCAGCTGTCCTGGAACTCAGTATATAGAGTAGGCTGGCCTCGAACTCACAGAAATCCGTCCCCAAGCCTCTGCCTCCTGAGCACTGGGATTAAAGGTCTGTGCCGCCATGCTGGCTTTGACTTGATTGTTGTTGTTTTGTTTTGTTTGGGTTGAGTTTGTTTTGATATCTTTTTCTTTTGATACAGGGTCTTACTAATGTAGTCCTGCCTGCTCTGAACTCCTTAGGTAAATGAAACTGGTCTTGAACTCACAGAGGTCTGTCTGCCTCTGCCTTCCAATTGCTGGGATTACAGGCATGTGCCACCATGCCTGGTTTGGCTTGGCTCTTGGCCCATTAAAGTGTCTCCAGTCTGTAATCACAGCATTAGGGAGGTTGAGGCAGGAAATTTATGAATTTGAGGCCAGCCTGGCCTACAAAGTGGGTTCCAGGCCAGCCTGGACTACATAGAGAGACCCTGTCTAAAGCCAACAAAAAACAGGGACTGGAGATAACTCAAGGGGTAAAGAATTTGCCACTTAAGAATAAGAACTTGAGTTCAGCCCCCAGTGCCTATAAAAAATGACCAGACCTGTGTCTGTAATCCCAGCACTGACTGGGGAGGTAGAAAGGGAATTCCTGAAGCTCATGGCCAGTCAGTCTGGCCTAATTAGCTTGCCCTAGGTCCCATTAAGAGACCCTGACTCAACACAGTGGATGGTTTCTGGGGAATGACTTCCAAGGTTGACTCTGGCCTCCAAATGCACACACTTGTACCCCACCCTCCCATACAAACAAACATGCACACACAAAATAACAGCCAACAATCTGTTCTCTGCTTCAGAAAACTCCTGTAAGTCCAGTGGTGTGTATATTTGTTGAGATCCTCTCCAGGGCTGAAAAATATCAAGTTAATAGGGTGAAGGTGTACCATCTTCCAATCTGCACTAACAAGACGTTCATCTCCCTCTCGGTTATTCTGCTACAACCCCCTAACTATTGCAATTTCCTGCCACTCCATCCAGTTGCTACTATGATCGTACCAACCTTCCTTCAATTTTGTTACCGCCCCCCCCGCATCTGGGGTTTTTCAGTGTAAAAGTACCCCTCTACTTCTTTACCCTCCAAGCCTCTCCCCATCTCGTCGAGCCCCCCAAGGCTCCACCCCGCTGGCCCTCTTAGCCACCACGTCAGCCAATAGCTGAGAGTCTTGATTTGCATAGCGGCGCTGGGGCACGGCGGAGGGAAGGAGGAGGGACCAGACGACCTCCTAAATCAAAGTTGGGAGGCGAGGACTGGGCGGAGGGGCCGCCGGGTGCACAGTTGGGGCCGGCGAGAGGAGGAGGAGGGAGATGGGGGGCGGGCGCAGAGGACCGCGGACCCGGCCGGACACGGACAGCTCGGTCGCTCCCTCGCTCAGCTCATCCGCGCATCCCCACTTCCCTCCTCCCTTGCGGGCGCGCAGCATCCTCTGCAGACCCTCGGTCCTCACGCCCGGGGTCGTCCGGCTCCCACGGCTCTGGGTAATTGCCTCCCCCTCACCCACCACCCGGGCAACTTTCTCCGCCAGTGCCGGGGGACTGGGGGCTGCTATGCCTGGGAGGGTTTCTTCTGGGGTTCACTGGAGGGCAGCTTCTGGAAAAGGGTTTCAGAGTCCCAAAGAGACACCCACCACCCACAGCCTGCGCCCGGTGGGCCTGCCGTCCGGTCTCCGCACCCTCTCTTCCCCTGTCCCCCAACCATGACCGAAATGAGCGAGAAGGAGAATGAGCCGGATGATGCGGCCACCCATTCTTCCCCGGGGACAGTCTCTACCCTCCAGGAAACCAAGGTAAGTGGGGGAGGGGGGCAGGTGGCCCGGCCCGGCCCAGGCACCTCTGGCACTGCGCGCTGGCCACGGTGACTGGGGCCGCCTTGGGGTCACGGTAGCTAAGCGGGCCCGCGTGATCGCTCAGGCTACGAGCCGCGCGGGGAAGGAGGAGCGAGTTCGCGACGTTGGGGACCCGGGGAGCCACGGAGCGCCGAGCACCGCACGCCTCCGGGGCGGGTGTAACTCGGCTTTGTTGGAGGGAATGGGCGCAGCAAAGGCGCAGGGAGTGTGTGGCTGTGTGTAGCGGGTGTGGGCCGGTGTATACGCGCTTGTGTGCGTGCGAGGCGCGCCCCTCCCGCGACCGCCGGATAGGTGTCTGCGGCTCCTCAGTCCGTCCGTCCCCGTCTCTGGGAATCCGTCTCTACTACTGTCTTCTCTCTCTCTCTGGGCGAGCGTGTCTCCGTGCTGTCTCTGGGTCTCGGGCGTCCCTCTCTGACCCACAGCAGTCTGGCGTCCCCCTCGCAGACTTCAGGCCTGGGGACCTGGAGGCCGCGGCCCCTGGTGCGGTGAGCAGCTTGCGAGTCGGCGCTGGGGGCTGCGGCAGCGCTGGCCGTCGGTGGCGGGCGGGGACCGGGAGTGTTGCGGCTTGGGAGCAGCCAGAGGCGGCCCCACCCCCCACCCCGAGAGCCGGAAGGGAGAAGAGCCGACAGAAAAAGAAGTCATCGTAATTAATGAATGTCATAATTAACCCTAATTATGTATGATAATTACTCTTGCGGGAGTCACAATGAATAAATTATTCTCCTACGAAGGCAGGCGGAGCCTAGACTGCAAGGACTGAAAGGGGTGGGGGACGAGGTAGTTCTGTGGGAAGCTACCTGTGCAGCCTGGGAAGGGGGAGAGAAGGGACTGTGCCTGGGTGCCCTTACCCCTCCCTAAACTTTAGGTCAAGACTTCCTCTCCTCTGTCTTTCATCCTGGTGTTTTGTTACCTTCTTGGTCCTGTGAGCCAGAGAAGGTGTGGTGAGGACCAGGAAGGGGTGGTGTGTCTCGGGGCTCTCTGGAGTCACCAGTTCATACATAGCTATTCCCACCAGCCTCTTCCTCTTCGCTGCATCTTGAGCATCTCTAAAATGTGATGTTAATTCAAGGTCAAAGTTATCGCAGGAGTAACCACCAAGAATTGAACAGGGCTAAGGTGGAGACTGACTGAAGCAGTCCAGGTTGTTCCCCACCCCTGCACTTGGGGATGCTCCAAGTTCAAGTCTCCTGGCTTTTTGAGTCAGGATCTTGCTAAGTAGCCTTGGCTGACCTAGAACTCACTATGCAGCCAGGATGGCCTCAAACTTTTAGCCATCTTCCTCTGCCTCCTCAAGTGCTAAAATTACAGGCATGAGCCACCATGCCTGGGGCCCCTCTTGTCAAAGACTTTAATGCACACTGGACCTTCCCATTCCTTCTGAAAATGAGAGTCTGGCTCCCAGTCCGAAGTTAAGTCCCCTTAGGGATCCAAGTCTGCCCTGGAAAGGGAAGATTATTGTTTCTGACAAGCGGAATCCTGGGAACTGAGCCCCACCTTAAGTTCCAGTGCCCCAGCCTCGGTAACTACCCTGTAGTCAGACTGTGCAGACATGTGGCCCTCTGCTTGCTTCCTAGAGACTAGAGGGGCTCCCAATGCTTCCCATAGGAAGGCCTGTCTGCTGCAACCTCTCCTCAGAGCTCCCCAAGGCAAGCAGGAGCCTGGAGCAGTGCTGCCTCAGCAATCCTGAAGGCTGCAAGCTCAGCTGTGTGGGGAGGGGGCAGACCCTGGTAGAGCTGTACCTCCCTCCTCCAGCCCGAGGACCCTCCAATGTCATCCTGCTCTCTGCCTGAGCCACAGAAGATCTGAGGGATTACACACCTGATTCCCCTCTGTGCCAGGCCACTTGGGGCCCTCCCTTGGCCCCCTTCATCCTTGTGAAAGACTCAGAAATGATCTCACAGACTGGGGATGTGCCTATAGGCTTTTGCCAACTTCCTCCCAGCCTCTCTCCTCAGCCTGGCCCAAGCTTATGTCTCTAGTCTTTGGGGAATTAGAGGGGGAAAAGAAGGGTACTGCCCACCGAATTCAGTGTGAGGCAGGTTCAACAAGGGTGCTCAGGAGGCAGCAAAGCCAACATTCCAGGCTTAGTTTTCAGCTTGGTGCCCCCAGGAATTTCTTGCCAGGCTGAAGCAAACTTCCTGCTTAGCCTATCTATGTTGGGGTCTCAGCTCTGTACCCAACCTATTCAGCAATCTTCCTGGTGGTCCTCCTCCTCTTTGGGTCACCATTTCATCCTATAACACTGGAACTGTTCATAACCCTCGTCAGTGCCATCCCAGAGGACCTCACCATACCAACTCTGCCATCTGAGTCAGCTTGCGCCACATCCACCACCACCCACTGCCAGCTGCCTAGTGCTCTTTCAGGAGATGCTGTGGGAAATTGAAGAAAGAAGGGGCCTCCAGGGAACTTCAAGGTGGGGGAGGAGACCCCGTAGCCCAGGCTCCTGCTCTGAGAAGTTCAGAGCAGACCTGTTGGCCTGGTCCCCAGGCCAGACAAGCTGCAGGTGCACTGGGAGGGGGCAGTACTCAAATGCGCCAGCTTGCCAATAGTGATGGCACCAAGATAGCTAGTGGGGGGGCTAATGAGATGCTCAGCAGGTGATATACATGCCACCAAGCCTGACAACTTGAGTTCAGTCCCCAGAACCTACATGGAGGAAGGAGAGAACCAACTCCCACAAGTTGTCTTCTGATGTCTACATGTGTACTATAGAATATGCATGATCACAAACAAACAGCATTCACACAAACACACATAAATAAATATGTAAATAAATGTAAAATCATGGGGAGCAGGGACAGATCAGCTGTAGGCACCAGGAGTCAGGAGCAAAAATACTCTAAACTGACATCTCTGGAGTAGGCAAGTGCCAAATTGGGCAAAAGTGTTCCATCCTGCCCTCTGGCCACAGCCCTTGACATCTGTTGGTCACCCCAGGTGGCATTCCATTCCTGCCTTCTTTGCCCTCCTGGAATCTGGAGCCCATAGCTGACTAAGTGGAGGAGGAGACCCCATAGGCCAGGCTCCTGCTTTGAGGTTCAGAACTAAGGAGTCAGTAGGCAGAGTGGAAGTTATCCTGATTCTGGGGGCCACTATTCCACAGGCCTCCAATACCCTGCAGAGGTGGCTCTTGGCACTGAGAATGGAGGTGGGGGTATACCAAGAAAGGGCACAGGCTGGAGGTTGGGGAGGAACTTAGATCTACAGGGATCATTGTAGAAGTAATGGCCCTGGGAGGGGGAACGTGATCAATGTCTTCACATATGGGAAGATCTAGGAGGGAGTAGACTTGCCAGAGTTAAGGGAGGAATGAGAGCTGATAGAAGTCATGGGGAGGCAGGTTTCAGTGTTTCAGGAAGCACTTTTTGGGAATTGCAGTTGCCCAAATATGGAATGACTGTCCCATGAGAAGTATGTTTCTCATCACAAGAGGTGACCAACAGCCATTCATTCAGAAATAGTGTGGCCAGAGCATTGCAGTACAGTGGGGTGGCGACTCATCTAGGTGTTCCTTCTAACCCTGAATTCCTTGACTGACACACTGAACAAGTCCATGAAACAGCTGAAGGAAAGGGAGGGGGCCAAGGTAGGGCCAAGAGCAGCAAGAGGACCCTCTTATTTGGTCTGAGCAGCTGATTCAGGTGCTGACTCTGGTACTCTCCAGCTGAGAATCAGGGTGGAAGTGATTTAACTCCTTTAGCCTCCATTCCTCATCTGAAATGTGAGACAATGATGGTCCCCCGCAGAGGCTGGTACTGGGGCTACTGGGAGTAAGGTGCAAGCCCAGGCCCAGTGCTCTAACAATGACAGCCCCTCATGGATACAAATTTCTGGATTGGTTGATCTTTTTGGACCCGGAGCCTTGTATTGCCCAGAGAATACCTAGTCTTGCCTCCTCCCGCTTGGATGTAGGGAAACTGAGGCTCAGAGAAAGGATGTAAAGTGATTTGCATTCTGGTAACAGGTTTAGTTTTGCCCTAGCCCCAGCACATCTCTCTAATTTTGTCTCCTGGGTGCTCTATACCTGAGACCCCTGAGCAGAACAGGGGAACCCTGGGGTCTCTATACCTGAGACCCCTGAGCAGAACAGCAGAACAGATCTTCCTCTTGGATCCCATCAAAGCCCTGATATCCCTGTTTGGCCCTGGCAGTCACAGCCTAACCTGGGCTGGTATTTGTAGTCTAGTTCATTGTTTTTCTGGCTCTCCATCTCTGTTCCAGCGCCCAGGCATCTGGGGCCCCAGGCCTTGCTTCTCACAGATGCAAAAAGAAGCCCACAGTACTGTCCAGGAAGCTGGGCTTGGAAGGAACTAAACAACTCAGTGTGCCAGACACCCCAGGGCACTGGCCTCCCAGCTGGCACACCAGAGCCTGCCTTGTGCCCAAACATTCCCTCTGCTTCTCCCTCCATTTTGCTGCCTGCTGACCTCTGGGAGGCTGGAGGGGCCACTACTTCCATCCCTTTGGCACACACAGGTGCCAGGCAGGCAGCCACAGCACACAGCGTGCCTGACATACCAGCTGGGAGCCCTAGCCAAGACTCCCTGCCTGAATCCAGGCCTAGGCCCCCCTTTTCTATTGCTGGTGGAAAAGGGTGGGCAAGAGTAAGGCAGCTCTCCACAGGAACGGAGAGGGGCAAAGCTGTGAGCACCGAGGTCTCCATACCTTGCTCTGCACAGACTTTGTGAGAATATGTTTGAGTGAGCAGTGGAAAAGACTCCAGCCTTAGTATTCCCAGTAGCTAGGGAATCACAATTTGGGGATGAGGGCATTGAACTGTGTCTTGAGGAGCTAGAAGAGGCTAGCTTAGCAGGTCAGGGATCTTGACTGATGGCTGTATAAAGGACAGCAGGAATAGACAAGGTAGAGGCTGGGAACTGGGCAGGAGGCTATTGCCCTGAACCAGACTTGGAATATTGGGTCTGAACTAAGACAAAGCAGTGGCCATGATTGGGGGGGGGTGCAGGGGTTAGGCTAGAGAGAGACTTTTGGAAGAGAATCAGCCTTTAGGATACAGATACAGGGTGACACCCCCACTTCTCCCCACCTGCTGGAGAACACAGTTGGAAAACCAACAGCCCTGCTGTGTTTTGCTTGAGCCCAAAGTTTGTTTTTTGTGTGTATGAATATTTGCCTGTATGTACATATGTGCAGAACCCTGTGAATGTTTGGTGCCCTTGGAGATCAGAAAAGGGCACTGGATCCCTTTGGAGTTACAGATGGTTACAAGCCACCATGTGGGTCCTGGGAATTGAACCTAGGTCCTTTGCAAGAGTAGCAAGTGTTTGTAACCTCTGAGCCATCTCTCCAACCCTGCTCCGGAGGTTTTTGTGGATTTGTTTGTTGTTTGTTTTCTAGACAGGATCTTGCTATGTAGACTGCTGGCCTCATACCAAGGTTGTTCTGCTGGGATTATGTCTGTTGTTTTTTAGTTTAGTTTTTTTTTTTTTTTTTTTTTTTTTTTTGAGACAGAGTCTCCTGCAGCGAAGTCTGGCCTCAAGCTCATTATGTAGTCAAAGATAACCTTAAACTTCTGATCCTCTTGCCTCCACATTCAGAGTACTAGGATTATAGGTGTGTGTTGTCACCCCCAGTTTTATGTGGTGCTGGGGAATGAACCTAGGGTTTTGGGCATGCCAGGCAAGCACATGTGTATGTGTGTCTGCTTGTCTGTATGTGCACTACCACATGTGTTCAGGTACCCATGGAGGCTGTTGGGTCCCCTGAAGCTGAAGTTACAAGCAGTTGTGAGCTGCCTGATAAGCATTCTGGGGACCAAATCCAGGTCCTCTGCAAGAACAGCAAGTGCTCTTAACTGCTGAGCCATCTTTTCAGCCTCACCTCTTTTTTCAAACTTGACTAAATCGTACACCCATACAATGAAATAGTGTGTGGCCATAAAAAAGAGTGATGAAACTCATGCATTTGTACAGAATGACTGTCAAGATTTATCGCTAAGTAAAAAAAAAAAAGTGCAGAAAAAAGTATCCTACATTTTTTTTTGTGATGAAAAAGGGAAATATCTTAAAATTATTTCTATCTAATTTCACATGAAAGTCTAGTTTGGGGGGACTAGGGTTTTAGCTCAATTGACATAGTGCTTGCCTAGTATGTATGAAGCCCTAGGTTTGAGCTCCAGCACTGAATAAACTGAGGATAGCCTTGCATCATGCCTGTAATTCCAGCACTCGAGAGGATCAGAAGTTCAAATTTATTTTCCTTGGCTACACAGAGTTCGAGGCCAGTCTGGGATACATAAGACTGTCTCAAAAAAAAAAGTGGGGGCCTAGAGAGATAGCTCAATGGTTATGGTAAAGAGCACTAGCTGCTCTTGCAGAGGACCCAGGTTCAGTTCCCAGTACCCACATGGCGGATAACAAACTAACTGTAACTCCATTTTCTGGCCTCTGTGGACATTGGATACTTGTGGTGCACTTATATACATACAGACAAAACACTCATACACATAAAACTTTTTAAAATATATTTTTGTTTTGTTTTGGTCTTTTTGAGACAGGGTCTCCCTGTAGCCCCAGAGGGCCTGGAACTTACTGTGTAGACCAGGCTGGCCTCGATCTCATAGAAAGCCACCTGGCTCTGCCTCCTGAGTGCTGAGATGAAAGTTGTGCACTATTGTGCCTGGCAAGGTTTTCCATTTTTCTTTTCTTTTTAAAATTTTTATTATTTTTATTTTATGTGTATGCATGTATTGCCTGCATGTATGTAAGTGCACCCGTGTTGTGCAGTGCCCTCAGAGGACAGAAAAGGCTGTTGGATACCCTGGAACTGGAGTTACAGACAGTTATTAACTGCCATGTGGGTGCTGGGATTCGAACCTGGGTCTTCTATGAGAACAGTCAGTGTTCTTAACTGCTAAGCCAGCTCTCTAGCCTGGTTTTCCACTTTTCCAAAAGGAATCTAGACTTTTAGCTGCATGTGGTGTCACACTTCTGTAATGCTAACACTCAGGAGAAGAAGCAGGAGGATCAGGAGTTTGAGTCCAGCCTGGGCTATATAGCAAGATCTTGTCTCAAGAAAACAATAAAACCAGACTCTGTATCTCTGTTTCTCTCTCTCTCTCTCTCTCTCTCTCTCTCTCTCTCTCTCTCTCTCTCTTTTGGTCTTTTTGAGACAGGATATATATATATATATATATATATATATACATGGTAGTACATGCCTTTAGTCCAGATCTATGCCAGACTGGTCTACATAGTGAGATACAGGCTACAGGGAGACCCTGTCTAAAAATAATAAACAAACAAACAAACAAATAAATAAATAATAAATTGGAAAACCTGCCTTCACTGGAGGAGACCTGCAGCTACTCCCTGGTTTCTACAGTCCCCACTACTTCTAATCATGTCCCGTCTAGACAGAACTCCCTTAAAACTCCCTGGAGGTTCCTTGCTGGCTCCTATGGGCTTTGAGAGGCTGGACAGTGTGAGCAGGAGCTTCTGTGATGCTCCCTGTTGGCTCTGGCTTCAGCTCCCGTGCACAAGAGCAACAGGAAGCCCTCCTCAGGCCAGTCCTCTGTCCTCCCACTCACAGCTCCCTCTTCTCTCAGCTCCAGCGATTCAAGCGCTCCCTCTCCCTCAAGACCATCCTTCGAAGTAAGAGTGTGGAGAACTTCTTTCTTCGCTCAGGCTCTGAGCTGAAGTGCCCAACCGAGGTGCTGCTGACGCCCCCAACCCCACTCCCCCCTCCTTCCCCACCACCTGCATCCACGGACAGGGATCTGCCCACCCCAGCACCCTCCCCGTGTCCAGTCCCATGCCCCTTGGCACCACTCAAGCCAGTGAGGTTGCACAGCTTCCAGGAACACATCTTCAAGCGAGCCAGCCCTTGCCAGCTGTGCCATCAGCTCATTGTGGGTAGGTATCTGGGCCTGTGGCAGGCAAGAGGAGGGGCCATAGAACAGCCTGTCATTGGAGTCCTGTGATGCAGGGCCCAATGCTGACTGTGTTAACTGTACCACTCTCTCTGGGCAGACAAATGAGTGTTGCCGGGGAGAACGGGGCTCATTGGTAGAGCACTTACCTAGCTAGCATATGCATGAGGCCCTCGATTCTATCCTCAACTCTGGAAAAAAATAATCATGAGGTGTGGCTGTACCCAGTGTTGCTCCAACCTTACTTACACAGTGGCTTTGGTGCTACTTAATATCCTCACTGTAGGAGGCAGATATGCCAGGTCCTGAAACTGGCATGAGACTGTCCAGTGTCTGCTTGCTCCCCATACCCTCTTGGGCCTTCTTTGCTTCTTGTCCATGGGAGTGTCTGTCTGTCTGTCTGTCTGTTTGTTTGTTTGTTTGTTTGTTTGTTTGAAATCATTTCCTCTCACTGAACCTGAGCCCTTCCTAGGAAACTCCAAGCAGGGCTTGCGATGTAAGACATGCAAAGTCAGCGTCCACCTCTGGTGCTCCGAGGAGATCTCCCACCAGCAATGCCCAGGCAAGACAGTAAGTGTGGGCTGCCACCTGAGGGAATGAGGGAACGAACCCCTGGAGGCTGGGCCCTCCTATGGGGTGGCCCTTTGCCTTCGGCAGGGCCAGGCTCTCCATGGGCTTTTATATCTCCATGCTGTCTCTGCCTCCTCTTGCCGCAGTCCACTTCTTTCCGCCGCAACTTCAGCTCCCCACTCCTGGTGCACGAGCCACCACCAGCCTGTGCCATGAGCAGAGAGTCCCCACCGGCCGGTAAGTGCCCTAGCACCTATGGCCCCTGCTCTCCAAGGTAGTGTAAGACATCCATACATTCTCAGTTGTGTACCTGAGTCACATTGTTACTGCCCGTTCCTGCTGCTCTTCTACTTCCCTTCCCTGGATGCTCTTGTCTTGAATGTAGGCTCCATTTGTTCATTCATTCATTCATTCATTCATTTATTCATTCACTCAACCCTCAACCAGCCATTTATTGAGTATGAGCTCAGTGCCAAGCAGTATGCAAGGCATTAGGATGTAGCACTGAAGAAGGTGAGTTTGAACTGGGTATGCTGGCCCATGCCAGTCATCACAGCACTCAGAGGTAGAGGCAGGAGGATAAGGAGTTCAAAGTCATTGCTGCTATGTATCAAGTTTAGGGTAAATGCAGGCTGGCAGCTGGGTACTAGCCTGGGCTATGTAAGATGCTGTCTTAGAAAACCAAAACCAAACAGAGCTAGTGAGATGGCTCAGCAGGTAAAAACACTTGTCACCAGGTGTGACAACCTGACTTCTATCCCTGGGATCCTCATGGTAGAAGTAGAGAATCAACTCCCTTACAGTTACCCTCTGAACTCTACACACTCACCATGGCACATGCATACTCACACACATTTATTCAGATACACTGACACAATCAATCAATTAATCAATTGATCAATCAGTGCAATAACAAACAAAGGTGGGTTTATGGTCTAATAAAGAAGGCAGACATGACATGAACAGTTCTATCAGTCATTAACCAACTGCCATTTTGTTGTTGCTGTTAATTTATTGTTATTTTATATGTATGAGTGTTTTGCCTGAATGTTAAGTGCACCCATGCATGCAGTTCCTTCAGAGGCCAGAAGAGGGCATCAGATCCCCTGGAACTGGAGTTATGGATGGCCATAAACCACCATGTGGGTGCTAGGAACAGAACCCCAGACCTCTACAAGAGCAGTCAGTGCTTTTAACTGCTGAGCCATCTCTTTGCCCCCAACTGCCATTTGGATGAGAGCCTCCAATGAGAAAGGATAAGGAATAAAGATCATGTAAAGGATGTGTTGCTCTATCTGCAGAGTCAGGGGAGGTTTCCTGGAGACATGAAGGATGAGGAGTTGGATCTGGGGAAGACAGGTGGACAGAGGGAGGCCTGAGGCAGCAAGGGGCATGGAGGTAAAAGGAAGGACAGAGTGGCTGGGGCCGAGAAAGCAGGAACACAGATATGAGACCATGGATGCCAGGTCTCAGGTCCATTTTAGGCTAGTCTTTTGGACTTTGTTCTAAGTGACATCTGTGTTTTTAGGAGAGCCTTCAGTTGTTGGTTGAAGGAGCTGAAATGGAGGCAAGGAGCCTGGCTGGGAGGCTTGCAGCAGTTGACAGGAGAGTTTGGTGACTTGACTAGGCTGAAGGCAGTGGAGATGGAAAGATGTAGGCAGATCCTAGGAATGCTGTGGGCATCGAGGACAAGGAAGGCATGAAGAAGGCTTCAAGTCCCAGCCTGAGCTCCATGGGAGGACAAAGAGTTGCCTCTGGGATAAGAACTTGGAAGGCACAGGTGAAGGGGAAGCTGCAGTCTCAGTCTGGAGCACTCAGAGCTGGGGGACCCAACCAGGCAGCCTAGGCTGGATGAATGCAGGCTGGCAGCTGATTGCCAGGCATTGAGGGTTGATGCTTAGCAGGGACCAGTGGGAAGGTGGACCCAGTCTACGAGACCCTGCGCTATGGTACCTCCCTGGCACTGATGAACCGCTCCAGCTTCAGCAGCACATCTGAGTCCCCTACACGGAGCCTGGTATGCTGGGCACAGAAGGGGAGCCCTTGGGGGAAAGATTTCTGAGTATGATTGTGGGCCCAGGGGCTGAACCCTCCCTTTGTCTCTCCCTAGAGTGAGCGGGATGAACTGACAGAGGATGGGGAAGGCAGCATCCGTAGCTCAGAAGAGGGGCCTGGTGACAGTGGTAAGCCAGGGTTGGAAGAACCCAGAGGTAGGAAGAAGATGGGGGTGCTCCCTGAAACCTCACTCCCTGGCCTCACCCTGGTATCCCTAGTGTTCGCAGCCCCAGTAGACAGCGAAGCATCAGGACCAGAGGAAAAGAGCCCTGGACAGCAGGTGAGTCTGTGATTGACCCATAGGCCAGGGTAGGAAGGAGTGTCACTTTTTTTTTTTTTTTTTTTTTGAGACAGGTTCTAGAAACACTAGTTAATCTGGAACTATGTAGACCAGGCTGCCCTCAAACTCACAGAGAACTACCTGCCTCTGCCTCCTGAGTGCTTGACACTCAGAAAGTGTCACTTTTTTGTCATTGGTCAGTAGGTTCATAACAACATAGTGTGTAGGGGACTTGCTGCTTAGTCCCTCCTGTATCCCCAGTCCCCAGGGAGAGGCAGTGTCAGGGTGGGAGGCCTGGAAGGTAGGGAGGGTCTCCACTGTCTCTTGCTCCACTTCTGTTCTCCCATGGGCAGGCGGTTCTGGGGTGCAGCGGGTAGAGGGTGTCTTCCCTCTCTAGACCAGACCCAGGTCCCTCAAGGTTGGAGGGAGACCCATCAGGAAGGTCTTACTTCTCCCTATAACTTACCAGAGATCTACTATGTCCACCTCACAGACCCTCAGGGCAGGCACACTCAGAGCAAATGGATGGTGGGGGAGCAAGGAGGTGACCTGCCATCACTGACCCACAACTTTTCCTACAGCCCCCCAAGTTGCCCCTGAGGAAGGATGTGGGACCCATGTACTCCTACGTCGCACTCTACAAATTTCTGCCCCAGGAGAACAATGACCTGGCTCTGCAGTGAGTCCCTATGGTCTAGCCCCACTGGGCAGCTGTGGGGCTCCAACCTCAAAGTTCTGCCCTACCCCTATTGACCTTAGACTACATGGGTGAGGGGAACCTTCAGGAGCTTTCTCCTTGCATACTTTGAGGCTGCTGAGACCACAGAAGGGCTGGAGTTGCTCAGAATTCGGTGTGATTCGTGCTATGACCTGTCTCCTGCCCCCTTTCTGGGCTGGTCCAGAAAGCCTGCTGTGCCTGTGGTCACAGTGGTCTCTGAGGGCATTGAGAATCCTCTCCCAGCTGAAAGGGGCCTGCAGGGGGCCCAGATGCCCACATGCTGCCCCAGTTTTCTCCTTCCCAGGCCTGGAGATCGGATCATGCTGGTGGATGACTCTAATGAAGACTGGTGGAAGGTGACTTGGCAGGATGGGGTCTGGGGGACCCTGGTAGGCACCATCCCCTCTTCTTTTCAGGCCCCAAAGACTTCCCCTTCTCTTGTGGCTTGCCTGGACCAAGCCCTGGACCAACCCTTGGATCCTGATCACCCTCCCTGCCTCAGCCCATCTCTTGACCTCCCAGGCCCAGAACCACCACTAGCTGGGGTCTGGACTCTCAAAAGCCCAGGATCTGGAGGATGATGGCATTGGCTTTGGGCAGGAACTGGGTATAGAGAAAGAGTGGGGGTGAGGCTGGTGCTTGGGCTCACTGCCAACTTCATCCCCAGGGCAAGATCAGCGACCGGGTTGGCTTCTTCCCAGCCAATTTTGTGCAGCGAGTGAGACCAGGCGAGAATGTTTGGCGCTGCTGCCAGCCCTTCTCTGGGAACAAAGAACAGGGTTACATGAGCCTCAAGGAGAACCAGGTAGGTGCTTGGCCTTGCTGAGAGCATGGATTGAAGCACAGAGGGTGGGGCAGGTGCCCTGAAAGAGGATCTGTAAGCCTGGAATAGGAGAAGCAGACTAAAAGGGAAGACTTTGGAGCTGGAGCGTAGCTCAGTTGGAGGAGTGCTTGCCCTGGGCATTCCCAGCACTGCATAAACTGGATATGGTGGCACACATCTGTAACCCAAGTAAGGCAGGAGGATTGTCTTGGCTTTAAGACAGGCTTGGACTACATAGCAAGTGCCAGAACTACATAATAAGACCCTGTCTCAGAAAGGTAGGATAGTAAGGCCCTCCCTGGTGTTCCATGTCAGAGGACTCAGGCTGGTAGCTGACAGAAGGCTGATTGATGTCTGAGTCACTTGAGATAGGACAGAAGCACTGGATTAGGAATCCAAAGGCACTGGTGTTTTTGTTTCTTTTTCTTTCTTTCTCTTTTTATTTTTATTTTATTTTATTTTTTTGAGACAGGGTCTCCTTACATAGACCCTGGCTGATCTGGAACTCACTATGTAGACCTGGCTGTCCTCAAACTCACAGAGATCCTCCTGACTCTGCCTCCTCTCCTGGCTAGGTTTAAACACTGACTGTGTCTTCTGGGTTGCCATGTAACCTCAGACAAGCCCTTTTCCCCTGCCACCTCCTCTGTGCAATGGGAATAGGACAGAACACTGGACTAATGGATCTCCAGGCTCAGCCCTGATGCTGATGTCCCTACCTGGTAGCCCCTGGGTCCTGGTCCTGAAGCTGATCCCTCCTGGGATCTACTCCCATCTGTTCCATCTACGTCAGACACACGAGTCTCGCCTTCTCCTGCAGTGTGTCCCCTGGGGCCATCAGTAGCACTCTTGCCAGGCCTCAACTCTGTGTGTCTCTACTCAGATCTGTGTAGGTGTGGGCAGAAGCAAGGATGCTGACGGCTTTATCCGCGTCAGCAGTGGCAAGAAGCGGGGCCTGGTGCCAGCCGATGCCCTGACAGAGATCTGACAGAAGCCAAGAGAACCTAGATGCTACCCCTGCCTCTGCCTGGTCCTTGCTTCTGGCCCAAGAGGGAAGCAGGCATCCTGGCCACACCCTTTCTCCCCCTGCCTCTCTCCTAAGCATCGCCCACCTCTGCTTAGGAGACTTCTGCACTGAGGAAGGTTTTATTTCTTGGGTGGGATGCCCTGAGTAGAGTGATTCTCTGGGACTTGGGGAGGGTGGGGGGAGGTGGGAAGAATGGGGACGCTTCAGGTACCTCCTAGTTCAGTTGCCACACTGAGTTCCACCCTGGGCAGTCACCTGCCCACACCGCCTTTGCATGCCTGACCCCACTTTGCCCACAGCCTTTGCTTGGGTCTATGTGTGTCCACCTCTTTGCAAGTGGGGCTTTGAGAGAGGGCCTTTCCACGTCCCTCAGTCCCCACCCTGGCTTGACAGCGGATGGTGGGAGGGCCCTGAGCCCACCTCTTGGTTTTACCACCTCTGCCACTCCTTCAATTCTCAGGAAAGTTCTGCAGGAATCTCTCCCATTACTTGAAACCTGAGCAGACAGAGCAGGGGCAGGGCTGAGGTCTAGAGGGGGTGACAAATAGGAGACTGTCCCATCAGTAAGGACAATCACCACTGAGCAGCCTAACCATATCTTTGTCTACTGGAAAATGGTGTTCAAGGGCAATCTGGACACAAGCCCAACTGAGAGCAAGACACTGGCCCCCACTTGGTCAAAACAACTCCATTTCACTATCTGGACTTCAAAAGCCCCATCACCAGGAGCAACCAGTTAGAAAAGTCTGTGATTGTAAGTCCTGGTCTCTTTAGGAGGCTGGCCCTCAAGGTTGACCTTCCCTGGCCCTCTCACTGGCAGAGCCCAGCCCTGGGAGGAACACTGAAAGAGGGAGAAGATGGAAAGTTCTTTTCTGGCCACCAGGAAGTGAGGGAGGGATTAGGAACCCCTGCAGGTGGTGGGCTGGACAACGGACCTCTCCCTCACAGGCTGCTTTTTTTCTGGTGCCAGCTCCTCCCCAAACTCAGAGCCTCCTTTTGTGCCCTGATCGTGCCAGCCAATGCCATCCCCAGTCCTGGGCACGGTCAATGCCCTCCATGCAGTGAGAGGGACACCGATTCTCCTACCCAACAGACCGCACCCATTTTTCTCCCCAAGAGGGGATTCAAGCCACATTGCCCTGTCTGCTGCCATGAGGCCCCCCCCCAGCAAAAAAACCCGGGGCGGGCCTAATGCCCACTGTACATGAGGCTGCATGAGGGGTCTGCAGGGGCGTTGCTGAGCCCCCAGACCCGTAATTAAATGTTCCTTGTCCAGGCCTGTCTGTTTTGTGTTTCTGATTGAAGAAAAGAAAGGGGGTAGCGGGCTGGGATGAGGTTGAAGGTTAAAGAGGTCGTTGACCTCTGAGAGGAGGGGCGTCCGGGGTGATGGAAGCATGGCAGGCCGGTGCCGCCTCAGCAGCTTCCGCACGCGCACCAGCCCTCGCGGGGCAGAATGATGAGGCAAAGACCTGAAGAAGGCGGGAAACAGTCTCCGAGGAGGTGGGACTGCGGTCACTTTCCGGTTCCGTGCGCAGGAGGCGAGCCCATAGCCGGGATGCGCTAGACCCGCTGGCTGCAAGGGTGCAGTACCAGCTGGAGATCAGGTCGCCTGGCAGCCCCCAAGCCCGAGACCCAAACGCTGGAGGCGGCGACAATCGCGGACACTGGGGCCTGAGATGACTCAGCGGCGTCTGGCATGGAGAGGGGCAGCGCGCGGCCCTCCGCCCACCTGTTCCAGCCGCGGGGCCTTCTTCCCGCGCCTGCGCAGTAGCGTCACCCGCGTGGCTTGCGGGTCCGGAGCTATTTATAGGAGCAGGGGAGAGCTACAGAGCTAGAGGCTGCTATGGGGGTGCCAGGGCAGCGTTGGTGCTACCTGGCCCCAGAGCGTGGGAGTCTGCCTTCTCCGGACACGCACCGGCTCTGTTACCAGAGTCTGGGTCCCAGCCTCCATCTTCTGAGCTAGGGTGGGACCAGACTGTGGCGCCTCCTCCCTGAGTTTCCTTTAGGCCCCTTCACTCAGCGAAGGTCATAGAGATTGGGGTGAGGGGGCGGGGCGAGGAGAGATGGACAGTCCTCTCCTAAGACCCCTGGTCCTGGAACTGGACGAAGAGGTCACTCACCGGTTGGTTGGTTGGTTGGTTGGTCGGTCGGTCGGTCGGTCGGTCCGCCTGCCTGCCTGTCTCTGCCTCCCGAGTGCTGGGATTAAAGGCATGAGCCGCCACTCCCGTTGCTTTGGGTTTTTTTATTTTTATTTTTTTGAAACAAGGTCTTGCTTTGAATTTAGGGATCCTCCTGCTTCAGTCTCCCAAATGCTGGGATTACAAGTATGAGCCACCATGCCTAGTTCTGAAGGTTTATGTAGAGAGGAAGTATGTAGTCCCGACAAGCCTGGATCTTTCTGTTCTCCTGCCTCAGTACATCTCCCTAGAAGCTGAGATTACAGGTGTTCACCACCATGCCTGATGAGAGAGATCAATAACTAGACCACAGAACACTCTAGGAGTTTCATGATACTTCGTCCTCTCAATGACCTAAGCCATGCTGATGAACCCTTTTCACAGATGAGGATGCTGAAGCATAGAGATGGTAAACTTTATCCAAGCTTGTATACTTTACACACTCGAACCCTGCCCCATTCACACATAGCAAAGCCAAAGCCCAGAGAAAGCTAATGATTTGTCCAGGTTCATCAAGCCTTCAGTGGTCTAGATATCCTACTGTCCTGCCCTGTGTCTCTCTAATGCCTTAAACCACCAGGGTGGAGGGCAGCCTGAGATGCAGGAGCTCTACAGATGGAGACCCCACCTCACTGGAATCAGAAACTTGCAGCCAAGTCTGCACACCCAGTGTCTGCCACCAGCCAGCAGCTGGACCCCCCACCTCCCTCTTCCCTGGTCTGTTTGCTGCACTGCTGAGCACAGCAGCTTTTTCGGGTGGCTGAGCCTCTGACAGCAGGCTCACAGCCTAGGGGCTGGGAACAGCTGGTGTCCCCACAATAGCCTCTGCCCTCTTCTGTGCCTGCTCTTGGGGATCTGGACCAGCAGTGACCTGAAGATGCCCAAGAATCTGTTGAAATCCATTGGCAGTGCCATTTCGGACCTACACATGCCCTTCTCCTCCCCTCGCCCCTCTTCCTCAGCTTGAGATCACCTGGTATTATGCCCCATGTGGGGCATGGGGTATTATGCCCCATGTGGAGTTAAGGGTTATCTGGACTCAAAGGAGATGCAGAAAGAAAAATCTTAGAGCCAGAGATAAGGAGGTCTAAAAGGAGAGAGGATAGAAAGTAGAGATGGGGGAGGACACAGGTTGTGAGGCCTTCCTTCTGTGTAACCCCACCCACTTCACTAGCCTATTTCCTTTTCTTTAACCTTTCACCCATTCATCCGCTCCCCAGTCATCCAGGGCTTAGATCAGTTGGGAACCTTCAGAGAAGCTGAAGGAAAACAGCTGTGCATTTCTATCTACTTGCTTTGCAGGAGTTGGCCTAGCTTGTCCCTGTCTCAGTCTCTGAGATGCCACCAAGGAGGCCAAAGGCAACCCCACTTCCCCAACCCTTCTTCAGCTCACAGCCTTCAGCAGCAGCTCCACTCTGTGCCTTTGCATGTGGCACTGCTCTGAATCATACCCACAGCTGGGGACCCAGAGCTAGATTCAAGTGTACTAGTATCTGGACAGTGCGGAGGTTCTGAGGGGTCATTGGTTCTTCTGGGTCTCAGTTTCCTCATTTAGAAAAAGAATTATATTTGCTCAGGGTGTCTCCTAGGAGAGAGACTATGGAAAGATGTATAAAGCTATATGATGGGGTTAGTTGTATGCTTTTGTTTGGCTTTGCTATGTAGCCCAGGCTGTCCTTAAACTTTCAGTAATCCTACCTCAGGTTCCTGAGTGCTGGGATTACAAGTGTGTCACCATGCCTGGTTAGCCATATTCTTGCTTAAAGATTTATTTATTTTTTAATGTGTGTGCTACATATGTGGCGGTACATGTGGAGTCCAGAGGACGATGTTGGATCCCCTGGGGCTAGAGTTACAGGCAGTTGTGAGCCACCCCACATGGGTGCTGGGAGCAGAACTCTGGTCCTCTGGAAGAGCAGCAAGCATTCTTAACCACTGAGCCATCTCTTCAACCCTCAAATCATATACTCCCCCCAAAAAGGACATCTCTCTGGGGCCTGGGGGAGCTGGGGATGGGGTGCTGGGGATGAAACCCAGGGTCCTGTGCATGCTAAGCACATATATGCCATTGAGCTGTAACCCCGACACTAGATTGATTAGATTTTCACAAAGTTCTAGGATCTGGAAGAGATTCGTTATCTTATGTTTGGGGTTCCATGAGAATTAGACCCCCTCCAGATATCATCTTGTGAAGGGATTGGAGCTCATGATGAAAGGATGCACTCTCCAGGCCTTGGGTCAATTTCAGAAAGAACTTACCCAACTTGGGGATTTGGGTGTATCTCAGTGGTAGAGCTCTTGTCTAGCATGAGTAAACAGAGAAAAGTGATGACATCGGGGTTGAGAGGTAGACTCCTCAACTCGGGGTCTGTTGCCTCCCCTGCCTTCCAAAATAACCCAAAAAGCCCCAGTGCAGCTGGCGCCTATAAAGCAGCCACCTGCAAGGGAACAGCACCACCTCCTGGCCTGGAGTGGAACCAGTTCCTGTACAGTAGGTTTAGGGCCCTGGAAGGGCCCCATGCTTGAATTACTGTGTTCTTTATCCTGTCATCTCTGGCTCTCTACCAGTGTGGTTGAGGTGGAGTGGTCTCAAACACCCTTTCCCTCTGACCTGGGCTGGAGAAGATGTGTCTGTATCAAGCTGTGAACTTGGTCAAGGCCATTCCCCCTTCCAGGCCTCAGCCTTTGCACCTGGAACAGTGAAGTTTTAAAGAGCCCAAGGATAGAGCACATTCAGGTTGCTACAACAGACAGAGGAATCCAGAAATCACTGTCCCTTTGCCCCAGGCTCTGACACGCATGGGGTAGGGAGGTTCTCTAGATACTTCTGAGTCTGGGCTCTGTAGTTTCTGCACCCACTTCTCCCATCCTGTCCAGAACTAGATGAAGACACAAGGCAGAACTGAGTGGTCTACTGGTCCCAATGCCTCTTCAGATGCTTCTACCACATGGTTGTCTTTTTCCATCCATCCCACACTGGAGAGGAATGGGAAGCTGGGCGGTAACCAGTAAAGGTATACTGGTTAAAGATGGGCCCAACTTTCTTTCTCAATCTGGGTTTAACCTAGAGTTCTTGCAGCTGACTAATATGTACCACTGGACATCCCATCTCAAACCATCAAACTCCTCCATAATCCCAAACTGTTCCAGCCCCTCTCTCCACGCCATTGGTTCCTTCTCACCTAAGGTATGAAGGCCCATCAGGACCTGCCTCAGTCCACCAAACTCCACCTCAGCCCACTGATACTTCGGTGAAGGCTGTGGGAAGCCCTTGTCACTTCACCTCTAAACTGGAAAACAGATATGGTATAACTCTACTTCACTATACTATGAAGACTAGAGAATCAATGTAAATCTATGTGAAGTGCCACTTGGATCACAGAGCAGATTCTTTATTGAAAAACTAATTGGCAGTTATTACTACAGCTAAGTGGGAAAATAAACTCCACAACCTGCTTAAGGACAGACCCGAGCTCATTAAGTAGGCTTAAATTAAGGAACTCACAATGGCCTGGGACAAGGTTGGCTTTCATAGTCTGTGCCTATATTCCAACTTTTCTTTGTGCCACACATGAATATAAACTAAGGTAGAGACAAAAACTCAAATTTGTTTCACTCATCTTGCAAGAAAACTACAGAAGCCTTAGGAGCCAAACAGTAATTGTTAGATGAAACCTGTTTTGAGGTTCCAGCACAGTTAACTGCAGTTGAACAGCACAGGGACACCAGTATTTCCTTTATTGTAGGAAACATGACCCTCAGCTTGATGCAAGCCAATAGTCTCACCTGCTCTGGAGGTTGAATGAAACAAAATTGCCCATGAATTTTTAATTTTTAAAAATATTTTATGTGGGGCTGGAGAGATGGCTCAGCAGTAAGAACACTTGTTCTTGGGGCTGGATAGATGGCTTAGCGGTTAAGAGCACTGACTGCTCTTGCAGAGGACCTGGGTTTGATTCCCAGCACCCACATGGTGGCTATGAACCATGCTTAACTCCAGTTCCAGGAGAATCCAAAGCCCTCTTCTGACCTCCGTGGCATTGCATGACATGGGTGCACTCACATACATGCAGACAATACACTCATACACATAAAATA